TCCCGCCTTATGCCCAAGAACGAAACCTCAAACCTTACCGATATGAGCTCGCCGGCCTCGGCCAAGGGCCAGCCCGTCGACGCAGATAACCCCCCGATGCCCATGCCGAAACGTCGTCCGCGATTCGTCGTACCCGCCGCCGTCAAAGATGCGCCGGCGCCTGTCATGGCAATCAAGAAGGATGGCCGACCGAAACCGTACCACATCGAGACCCCAAGCATCGCCCCCCGATATGCGCCGTTTAGCAAACCGAGGCCCGACGCCGTAGCCAAACCAGGCTTTGGAGGTTCGAGTAGTGGCGCGCGAGATATCCCGGATATGGGGCACGCCGACTTCTTCCCGTGGACCGGAAACCACCCCGAAGACCAATATACCGAATCGATCATCAAGAATGGATACTATGATAAACAACCGCAGGCCTCGGTCGAGACACAATCTGCCAAGGCTGCACTGTTTCCCGCCCTCAAGCATAAGAGCGGGCTGAACTTGTTGTCCAACATCTTCATCGGAGTGCTAAACCAGAGAAAGCTCAATGGCCAGATCTCGTCGCCCTCGACCTTCAAGCCCCCGCCGCGCGTTACCCTGACCGATACGAAGCGAGAAATGTGGCTGAGGGACTTGGCGAACCCATCGATATCGTTGCGCCGACTGAGCCGAACGATTCCCCACGGTATCAGAGGCAAAGTGCTTCTAGACCACTGCCTCAATAAGAACGTGCCGACAGAAAGAGCAGTCTGGCTGGTCAAGTGCGTTGGCGCCAATGAGATCCGAGCCTTTAAGAGAAAGGGAAACGGCCCTGGACCCTTTGTGCTCGGTGGCGAGGCAAAGTGGCTCAGAGACTGGACGGTTTTCGTGGAGCAATTTGTGGAAGGAGTCTCGGCGGCCTTTGGGGACAACGACTGGAAAGCCAAAGTTCAATATGCGTAAGTCTACGTCATGCGATGCTTCATGTGTGCGAGCTAACCTTTCTATAGCATCCGACTTGCGACACACCTCTATGCGGAACAGCTACTCGACCGTGACCACTACATGGATTGGCTTGTATCCGGGTTGGAGAACTCGACACAATCAAAGTTGCCAATGTGGATTCTCACAACACAGATTTACTGGAAAGATTTGCTTCGTTTAAGAAGATATGGCCGACGATTGGTGAATGCGTTGCTCAGCCATCTCAACACGGTACGCCAGCTCAAACCCACAGGGAGTTCGCAACTAACTGTTCAGATTTATAACGATCCCGACCGCGATATCCTCACCCAACTCTCTACGAGGTTGACGTCTCTACTGACACCCCTGTTGTCCGCCTACTCGGACAACTTCGTGTCTCCTGCGACTTGGTTCAAGTACAGAGACGCTCTGCTCGCATCTATTCCGATCGATAACGACTTTGCCCAAAACGCATTCAAGTGGATCAATGTCAGAAACGAGCAGCTAGTTGCATCAGCCAGCAACTCCCAGCCGGCAAACCGACAGATACTGGTCAAGCATCTCGACACCTCATTCATGTCTTTGTACAGCCCCGACTTGGCTACGCAGTGCTGGGCTGTTAGTGAAGACAAGGGAATGATAGTTCGCACATTATTGGAGTGGTGCACCTCGCCTCACCGACCAGGCAACGCAAAGGTGTACATCACTGCCAGTCTTCTTCGATCTTGGGCGGCTGCTGGAGTGGATGTGACGACGGCGATTCTCGAGTTTCTTAGTGCAAACCCACCAACCGAGACAAGATCAAAGAGAGTTTTCCACCAGCTGGTGTCAGAAATCGTACGATCAGGGGACTTCCAACTTCAGGGATACATATTCTGGCTCATTGCCCGAGGCGGACTGAGAGAACCGGCCGATACTGAGGCAGATGGATCTTGTGCTACAAGGCTGCTTGTCGACCTCCCTCTCCACGCCCTTAACTCTTCTGCCCAAGCCACACGAGCAAGCCTCCTACGACGAGCATCCTACGACGTCAACGACGAAGCCCAGGATATTAACACAGCTCTCAAATGCATTCAGCATGTTATGGGACTTCCTCTTCCGCCTGGAGATCCGATGCTCCAGCGGAAGCCCGTACCAGTCGGAAAGCTCTGCAGGCTGATTACCACCAGCAACCGAGCATTACAAACCGAGGTCGGAGCTAGGCTTCTGCAAATATTCACCAAGGAAATAATTATGACGAAGAACGGCCCCCAGGTCTCCCCGGCTATGTTCAACTTCGCTCGTGCTGTTCTTGAAGCGGCCTCCGACTACTCGGTTCTCGTCGAAATTGTCAAGGTGGTGTCGAGAGCTTCGAATCCCGAGATTCTTGCCTCCTGCGCCGATACTTTCAACGTCCACCTACCGATTTTCGCAGCACTGGGCGTGGCCAAGGAACTGTTCGATGCGCTGATGGAAAGGTTGAAAGCGGTTAGCGACGAACAAGGACCTGCTGCCCGACCTCTCTTGGCGTCTCTGGCAAATCTTTCGACCATGATACCCGGTTACACGAATACTGCTGTCTACTTGCGTCAGCAGCTCCACCAATGCGATCGCAATAACCCTATCGACGCATGCTCGCCCGTATCTGATAACATGACGGCACAGCTACAGGATGCCGAGGGCGAACTACACGAAGAGATCGAGAAGCTTTTGACGAGCGGGACCAGCGTCGATCGGCCTACCATGGACCGACTTTTCCAGACCGTGGTCGGACGGTTGGAATCTTGCTGGTTAAAGTCGGCGGACAGACAGCGTGCTTATAGCGCACTTCTCGGGAGGCTGCGCATTTTCGACGCTCAGCACTTTGACGTGCGCATGACTGACTGGGTCCATCACATCAGCGCGTTGAAGACTCGCCCTACGCTGGAAAATATCTACCCCCTTCTCATCAGCATGGGCTGTCTGACCTTGCCCATTATTCTTACCACGACATCCGTCGAGGCAGGGAGGATCGGGCTGAACCCCTCGATGCCACCTAACAGTACCACGACGTACATGCAGGAAGTCCTCTATCTGACAACGATGCCCCTTCCCGCCAAGACCGCATTAACACCCGAAGAGACCTACCGATTCTATATTCAGCAACGAGTGGCGCCACGTCAAAACCACAAGGATATGGTCTATCTTGTGAGGAATGCTCTCGTCGAGTTCTCGAGGCTGCAGGGAGTCGTCGAATCTTCGATGCTGCCACTCGCAAACCCCGAAATCAAGGACACAGCGCTGCAACTGCTCAAGTTCTTGGTTCTGCGGGATCCTCCATCGGTGGTTCAAGCGCTGGGTATCAAGAACCCAGAGCCTGCATTGACAAGTCTGTTTGCACAGGTTACGACCAAACTCCTACTACCGGATGCTGGCGATGAATCACCACTGACGTTTGAGACGGTCCTGGAATTGGCAAACGAGTTTACTCTCCCATTCTGTCAGCTCAAGCTTTCGGTTGGCCTCGCGGCGGATAGCACGACAAGCCCGGGAGGAGGGGAACAGGCTCTCACGCAGTTCGACATGTTTTCGAGGGCGATGGACCGCGCTGTGTCAGCCAACAACGTCATGTGGACTAGCATGCTACCCTACCTGAGCGAGGACATAACGGAGCATCTTAAGAAGCAGGCTCATCTGCGTTTCCTGGGTCTCTTCCCGTCAAACAAGAACCCACCTGCTGCGGATCCTCTTTCTCAGGAAAGCACTCAGCTCGCAGGAAGTCTGCTTTCAGTAGTCGAGGCGATCCTGAGAGGTCGTCCGCCTGTCCGAACATCACAGCTTACTTCGGGCATGGTTGAGAAGCTTGCAGAGCTGTGGGAAGTCCTGGCAACCGACGACATCAACAAGAGAGACCTGCGCGCCTCAATTATCCGCTACTGGCTTCCCGCCTTGTTGCGGTTCATCACGCTCCACACGACTGCAAACGAACCTGCGCCGGTAGCGACTCAACCCCAGGCCGCCAACAACATGAAGCCGCCCGCCAATGCTGCTGTTTTCGAGATTCGGGCGAGAATCCTGATTGTTCTGTCTGGTCTTACTCTCGAATTGGACAATCTAGCATTCCAGGACGCTCAAAATGGCCGACCGCTCAGCCAGCAGGTTTTCGATCTGGCCCTACTACTAGTCGATACTTTGCCAGACGACATACGCCTGCAGTGTGTACGAGTCTTGCTTACAGGCGGCACCATGCAGAACCCAGCATCCTCAGATGCCCGTCTCCGATACCTATTTAGTCACATGCCTCCAACGACGGAGCAATTCGTGCTTGCTCACAGACAGCAATCTACTACACAACCAAACGGGCCGCAGAGAATCAAGATGCCGATCTCGATGCAAGGCACCGATAAATTAACGCCGTTCATCTACCGCAAATGGGAGATGCTCAGCGAGCCCACTCCCAACGTTGGAGAGAACGACACGGCTCTCAGTCTCACGTTATTTGAGGCGATTAAGATTCAGTAAACAAATTGGAGGAAGCGTTGGGGATACACACACACACATAAACACACAAATATTTCATTACTGTCATGCATACGTCGGAAGAAAGGCGAGGTGTTCATTCATAGATACCATTACTGGTCCAAATCGGGATTGTAGAATCAGGCAGGCGAGGGGGGAGCAACGAGAAAAGATCCTTTTTTTGATACCAGGATGGAAAGTCAATAGTCGGTCGGCGTCGGCTGGCTTGGAAAGATTGAAGGAGAGGGATGGAGGGGGTCGACATGATTGTATTAGTGAGGCGGGCACTAGGGGGGCTTTTCCTTTTTCATCATCATGACAACAACATTATTATTTAAATGTGTTTATGACAGCTTTGTTCGTTGCAGATTGTGTGAGATTGTGACTTGCTTGTGACAAAGTCATGGTGCTTAAAAGTTAACCTAGGGATTATATGTACTAAACCCCGGGGCTAATTGATATAGCATCCACGAACGACCAAGCACAGGCACGAGAACATCAAGCAAAACCTTGACGCATCTCAAGGAAGGTTTTAGACACCACAGTCTCGGATTCAAGTCTTTCTTATGGTATAGACATAAAATGTACCATTTGACCTACGAATCACTCCCAGTTCCAACCTGCAGCCGGCTAGCTGCCTTCGCCTCCCTCTCAGCAACAACATCGCGTTCTATATTCAGAACATCGGCAAATGAAAGCACAAGCCGGGCTGCTTCATGATCTTTAGGTACCCAGCCAAGATACGGATCCTCATCCCGCCGCAACTGCAATCTCTGTATGAATCTCTCGCGGATAATGGCCGGGATGTTGTTGCCTTCCCTCAGTCGCCTCTGTCTGGATTCGAAGATAAGGTCCATGACCTGTAGCAAGGAGATTTGAGATGGGCAACGGGGTACGGTATCCTTCATTTGGCTCTTTAGGAGCGAGTAGAAGGACAATAGGCGGTTGGCCCCGCTGAGGTAGGTATCTTGGAGGCTGAGCTCGTAGGACGGGGGGTAGAAGCCGGAGAGTTCCCAGTCTATGATGGCGGAGAGCTCGTAGTCGGAAGTTTCGTTAGAAGAGTCAGATTGATAGGCAGAGGTAGACTCAGAGTCGGACAGGCTGCTGACGATGATGTTGCGGGGGTTGAGGTCGTTGTGGCAGAGAACGGCCTCTCGGTACCATTCCTCCCAGCAGCCCTTTTCAACTTTCACGAAGCCGAGGTCTGAGTATTCCGACTGTACGACTACACCACCAGACTCCGTGGCGACCATGGCGTAGAAGGGTCGTCCACTCAGCTCCCACCTCTTGTCGATGGCGCTGAGAAGAGCTGGCCCGTCCTTGGGAGCGAAGAATCCCGTGCTCGGCCCGCCCATGAACTCTGTTTCCCCCAGAATGTGCTCCCTGAGGCCGCCCGGTGCTAGAGGTAGCTCGCACTTGGCCAAAATGTCCCGAATTCGGTCTAGAGAGTCGGGAATCCGAATAGAATGCAGTTTCTGTAGTGCCTCGACGAGAGCAGCCATAACGGACTGTTGATTTTCGTCACTCATCTGCTCCCATACGTCTTCTAATGTCTTCCCCTTGATATACTTCGTCACACTGAACTGTACTAGTTTCCTCTGGGCATTGTTGGTCATGCCGGTCCGATATGTCTTTGGGATGAGTTTTGGGATGGCGAGCGAGGCGATCTGCTGCATGGCTGAGACGGTGGCAAATTGTGTAGATTCCTCGTTCTTGGCTACGACCTCCAGACGGATTAGATACGAGGGAGGAGGCTTGCGGGCATCAGGCTTGCTGATATCTGGCCTGCTGGTATCTGACTGGCGGGCTTGTGGGAAGCTGGCTTTGAAGACGCATTTGTCCCAGGTTTGTACGAAGATACTATCTATGGAGACGTGAGGTTGATCAGGAAAGATTTGGTTGAGGAGGGCGTCATCAGGAGCGAGATCTCGAGAGTCCATGATGTATGACACTATGAACATGTGGTGTCAGGATGGTGAGGAAGGAAGAGTTGAAGGCCGTGTCAAGCTTCTTCGGAATTCGAGGGTGGTCATTGGTCGTTAAGTAGCGGCGCAGCCTCACACCATCACTGCCATGCTGCAGGTACAACAAGGGGTGGGCGTCTTTGTCAAAATGAACAAACAGAACCAACGGCCTGCGCAGCCGGAATGGGAGCGGATCAGACGCTGTTTGCCCTTCGAGGTTTGGTTGGCATTAGCGATCTCAGGTTGTACAAGGAAAGATGTGGGTGGGAGGGGGGAGGGAATCATGGAAATGTTGCTATCTTCATGGACAGTCAATAACAAGAGAGGTGTTCCAAGAATACTCCATGACATACATTATATTCTGGCCCCTATGTATGCTCAATTCCCCATTTCAAAGAAGTTTACTCCACATTCTATTTCGTACCGAGCGCCAAGCATTACATGCCACAAGCAGTGAACCACAGCACGATCTCCAGTGTCACAATGTGATGGATTCCAAAGCGCAACGCTAATATGTAAACGTCAGACCAAATCATTGCAACTTATGCTCAAGTGAGGCTCGAAAAAGCTATAATATCAATGTCAAGATCTTTCTCCCACTTACTTCGCGGCCAATAGTTCAGGAGGAGTCGTTGCAGGTGCAGACATCGGCGCTTCCGGCGTAGTTCTTACCACACTTGCCGCATTTATTCTTGTCGACAAGCTCAACCTGTGTTGTAGACTTCTCCGGGGTGGGGCTCATCTCAATGTGGTTCGTCATATTTTTTGGTCTGCAGTAAGTAATGGCTAGTTGAGGCTATAGCTTTCCTATTTGTTGGTGTTCTTCGTGTGTGTGTATGTGTGTGTGTGTGTGTGTGTGTGTGTGTGTGTGTGTGTGTGGAGATGAAGACTGAAATTGACAGGAAAGACATTCAGTTCGCCCTCTTAAGTCTCAAATGCTCTTGCGTGAGTGATAAATCAAGGGAGCCTTGTTGCTGTGAAGGCTCTTTGATACAGCTTATCTCAATGTTCAATGTTCTCGGCCCTTGCTCAGTTGTTCACTGCAACTATGTGCTCACTGCAACTATGTGTTCACTGCACCAGCTCACACGCTGCCTGATTGCAAGGTATCTTGACAAGGAATCTGCGTATGTACGAAGAATTCAGACAAACAATCTCCTTTTCTCTCCCCATTTGTTCTTTATGAGTGCATCATCACTGATGTGTATGCTAATGGAGCCTTTGTCTGATTCCATACCAGAAGCCAGCCTTTGGCCAGAACAGCCTGTCTGAGGTGACGCAAAAAGATGTCTAAAGCGTAGAAACAGCACAAAGACGAAAATCTGTCACTATTGTCTTTCAATAACTTCTTTCTTGATTGCTGGGCAGATATCTGAAAAGTAGTCTACGAGTTCGAATGTTGTACTTATTTTAGCATGCCCAGATCCGACAGCGGCGGTATGCGTATTCTAGCGAAGGTCTTACATATCTCACTACGGGGCTCATTGGGTGTTTGGTCTTACTAAATTTGAAGACCTACTTTATTAAGGGTAAATGAAAAAGCAATGAAATCAGAGACTTTCTAGTTCGCATAAGACGCTTATCAACGATGAAGCAACATGCCTGACGTGACCACACCAAAACCGCCGTCAGTATAGACGCATACAGTATGATGGATATATTACCCACTGGTACCTGACGGGTCTCTCCCAATATTTCGAAATTTCGTGTGTTACAGCACAGAAACTAATTATGACGATAGACAAATTTATTATTTAACAACTACCCTTAAGTTCCTCCGGTATCCTCAACAGAACATTCATCAGCAGGACACAGACCAAGCTTGCCACTTCCCAAGCTTAGAGCTTGATAATCTACACCAGTGTCAGTCAACAATCATCATGTTTCTTCATCACAGAACACTCACTGGACACATCCGTCCTGGACCTGATCGACACGCTGCCAGTTGGTAGGATCGCTTATGGATGCCACACATCCAGCAAGTCCAGGTCGCGTAAGTCGATCCGTAAAGATGTCAATCGTGCAGCCTCCAAAGACGATGTTGACGCTCTTTGCGTCATAGTTGGCAAAGCTCTTGTTGATGCTCGTCATGGTAAAGCACTGGGCGAGGTGTTCAGTTCCCGTGTTGGAGCCACCACCGTAGTGAAATGTCGTACCGCCGGCGCATTGGTCATGGTCGTGAAATGTTACTGACCAGGCGGAGGCGGTGGTCACGGCGGAAAGAAGAAGAGCGAGCTTCATCTTGGAAGTAATTGAACAATATGAAAACTTAAGTGATAGAAATAATTAGCATGGAATGGAGGGTTTAGCGTTGGCTCTGGCTTGGCAGAGCTTGGTTTATGTAGTGTTGTGGGCGACGTGCGTGTACGAAAGGCATCTAGGGCTTGGATTTTTCATGTTTGTAGATCAACAACTTATTAAAGTCACGCGTGTCGTTACAATCAGGAAAGTTTTCATAGTCTACTATCTAATAGATTGCTACTTGCTCGCACTCACAAAGTCGCGCGGATAATCGGCATGCTTTGAACTTGGGCTGTGCGGGGCCATTGCGAGCTTATATACTGATGATCAACGTAGTAGTTGTTAAGACTCACAAGCGCTACGCATTTTTAGGAATTACAAAGTTTAAAGTTGCGGGATGGCCGAAATTTGATGCGAGATGTGCGAGTAATTCGGCTTCGTCTAGCTGTTCTAGGGGATTGGTTCCCGAAACCGAGAGACGTAACGACTTACGGGCTTGTGTCTGACTCGCACTTTTTCTCAATATCAGCACGATCAGAATACTACTGAAGAGAAGTCGGAGAATACCCTTAAAGAGAGCCCAAGAGGCCACTATGTATAAGGTAAGTATTAACAGGTGGACATTAGTTCCCTCTGCCAGTTCGAAGCGACTAGGTGTTTCCTTTTTAAATTACAATAGATTTGTTCCTTCTGTCTTCATGATGCTTAGCAAATTCTCCACAAGCTTCATCAAGTGTCAAGATGTCGTGATAAGAGCCGGGAGTCATGAATTCTTTTGCCGCTCGTAAAAACCGATGTTTTCCGTATGAAGTCATTGTCATGTTCCAAGTTCAAGCGGGTTTGAGGACGAGTTACCCAGGCAAATTAGAAACGAAGTAAAAGGAGCTGGAAGGCAGAGCCATGTTGAAGGGCTTAGTGCAATTTGACACGACTTGATCATTGTATACACAGCCCTCTCTCATCAGAATGCAGAAGATACCCCTGAAGGTTCACCTAAATAAGACTGAAATCTTCAATGTGGGCAGTTCCAGCAGACACATTCTCGGACATTTGTCCCTCCATGAGGCCACATACATATGTATCCCCAATAACTTGGTAATCTTCGCCCTGCTTTCGAAGAACAAGAGGTACGGGACATCCTCCTATTAAGACGACGTGGTCTCCAGCCTGAGCCCCTAATGGAGCCAGTGCCATGTGCCCATACTCAGTAAGAACGAAGGACCTATCCCGTGTAATCCTGTCGACCTCGTTGGCCAGACTAAGTTTCAATCCTCCTAACATACTTTCACCTATCATTTTATCGTTAGCTGGTAACATTTTGACACTGTGCTGTTTTTCTTCGCCAAGATAGAGGTCGTTGAGCTGAGAATCTTGATTCTTCGGAAGCCAATATGATCGCTCTGCCTGGATGGAGGGGGTGGGGTGAACCGGTGAGTGATGACCAATTTCTGCCTGGGACTCTTTTCTCGGATAAAAAACAAAGATGGACTGCATCATCAGGATATATGTGTCTATCATGCTGATTGAATGGATGAGGTCGAGCGGCATCCGCTCATCGATGAAATCCATCGCTGCGTTGTCATTCTTAAACAACAGCCGGAGATCTATCATGCGGTCACGATCCATGAGAATCGTGCGGTAAAATGCCCGCCTCCAACTGATATACGCATGATCTGTGATATTGGCTGCTGCGCAGCAATTCCACTTGACCATTCTCTCGCGGAAGGATGTATCTGGGCTCAGAACAGAAGTAATTCTGCCCGCTTGTACACCACTTGCACGAAGAACCAGGGTGTCGTGTGCAAGATGCCATTTCAGTTCCTGAGGACAGAAAGTCCCAGCCTCAAATTTGATGTCTATGTGCGCCGTCCAAATGCTGATACCAGTTCGGCTCTCAACAAAAGGCCCGCTATGATTTGGAACCCACGATGGCAGATTGTTGCAAGATCTGCGCCTCCTGGTGCAATTCTTGTGTCCAATCCCTGACCGCGCTATGAGTCTCGAATCCTCCTTCAAATTCAGGAGGGCAAAATCCAAAAAAACGGCAGTTGGACTCTTGGTGTAATCTGGCGTGATCAAGTGAGCTAGTTCGGGAAATAGGCCAAGGATGCCATAGAGATGGTCCCGGGGATCCGTAGCCATAAATCGCGCGGTATCCATCATGGCTTCGATTAATAGGGAAAGAGGATCTGATATCGTATGGCTCATGAGCTCACGTGGTCCTATGAAAGTATTGGCTAACATCCCGTAGCCATTGAAGTTGCGGAGGTCATCAGCGGCTTGCAAAAACGACTTGGTGCGAAGCCTCTTAGGTTTCAAATGGAGAGAGCGGCCTATTTGAACTAGGCCCTGATATAGATCATCGCTGCTGATCTCATTCATTCCGCACAGATAAAGGCGTTTCCTGGCTAGTACGTTTTCTTGGATCACCCATACTCTGTACCAGTACGGTCGGAGAAGTATGTCCCGAATCGCATCTGATTTAGATGCGAAAGCTATTGGGATCTCGGGTCTAGGCAGGGGAAGTATTATTGCGCGATTTAGTTCTGCGCACTTTTGTATAAACGGGAAAACCGAATCGTCATTTGTAGATGGCCCGAGCCAGCACAGGACTTCCCGAGCCTCTGAGTAGATGCGTGCCATGAGTGAAATCTGATGGCTCTTTTCGGAAGTGTCTCTCTGGTTCACGCATATTGCGTCCACCCATAGAAAGGACTTATTCGGTTTCGATCGCAAGACTTTCAGGGCAGCGTGGAGATTATAGGTGACACCGAACCGAAGACCATTGAGAAGTATAGGCGTGGTGTGGTTCTCATCGCCCCATGCGTATGAGAGAGCTCTGAAACGAGGTGCTTTATTCAAGTTCTTGGTGTAGAGATTGACTTTTATAATGTCTTTGCTGTTCTTTGGTGATTCGATTCTAAGCAAACGGATTTGAGAGGAGTCACCTCGATCTAGTTTTCTTAAGATATGTCAGAATGCGACTTGTATCCCATATGCATTGTCTCCTCACTTGTAGGGGTTTTGGCCTTCCATGATGTCGAGATATGGAGGCGCCATTAAGTTGGTCTTGGCTTTAGAATCTCCGGATGCCATTTGCAATCTGAGCCTGATGGCCTTTAGCACGTCGTATGTACTCAAAGCAATGGCTAGGTCGCCGTTGGGTATCCAGGCTGAGAGCCTGGCTGGTCTGCCTTGGGCTGGGCCACCAACCACTCATGCAGTCAAGCTGCACCAACTTCTGATTCTCAAATTGATAGGCTGAGCCCCGCACACCACGACTTGATTCTCCTTTGGGAACTGGATTGTGTTTAAAGTAGGTAGGTATTGGAGGTCTCAAAGGTGTTTTGGACTGCGACCTATACAGAACCTAAGTATGTACACTTTGACAAGAGAATATGGAAGCAAAGAAGCACTCTCCTTTGAAAGTATTCACGCTTGCTCCCTGTACGGACTTAGCACGCTCTTCTCAGTAAAGAACCACAGTCTCCCAACGAGGGTTACAGTCCCTCCACTGGCTAAGCCACACGTATCCCACCCCAACCCTCCTCGCAACAAACGGCATACATGGCACCCTCTCAACAAGCATGACATTAAACCGCCACATCTCATGAAACTGCCCCTCGATAAACGCCCACTCATTGCTCTCGCTGACCTCAGTGTCAACAGAAGCACTAATAACGATGAAATCGAGCAACATCCTCCGATCCCTCGCTCCTTTTCGTCCTGAAATCCAACGGGTGTCCATCTTATCCAGATACCCAACATGTCTCCCCATCATATCCAGAATCTCTGCATCCTCACAGTCACCCCTCCTCGCGCCCATCATCCTCCGATCCCTCCCGACTCGGAGCGAGGCAACAGTCGTGTTGAACACCAGCGCCCCCGGTAAGCCAGCGGCTACCTCGATGGCCTCCGGATCGAGCTCCACGTGCGCGAGAGCCTCCCAAGGGCTGTGCGGGCACTCCCGCCACATGGCGACGTACTTCTCGTTCGTCTCCTCAGAGACGTTGAACTTGCCGCCGGCCATCTTCCTCTGCAAGGGCGGCAGCTTCTCAATCCCGCTCATCCTGGCCAGTTGCATACAGCTGCCCAGCCACCTCTCCGTCACCTTGACTTTACGCAGTCCATTACCGTCGTCTTCATGCCTTGAGGAGACGCGTCTGGCATCGTATACGTGAAACTGCACCATCGTCACGATCCGCACGAGCTTGGTATCGTATAGTCGCGCATCACCGTGAATCCACCGATAACTAGCGGCACTACCTCCCTCGACCGACGACCACGCCGCCCAACTCCAACTCGGGATCTTCAAACCCGCGTCATCTCGACGGCGTACGGCGCCCGTGTGGCTCCACATGAGCGTTTGAGGGAGGTACATGTCCGGCAGGCCGAACGTCATCTTCGTGCGCATGGATTCGCCTACGGCGTTGCCGACGCCCGCGAAGGCGTTGAGGATGTCTGTTTCGCGGGAGAGCTGTCGCGAGGTATAATCTTCGACCCATTGGCAATAATTTGCTAGTGATACTTGGCCGCGTAACTTGACTGGTGCGTCTTTGCTGTGAAGCGCTGTGCGATAGAAGCCGGGGATGCTGGGCATGCGGAACGGTTTCTCCTCGGTCTTTGATTCGTCGATGTCTTCTTGAGCTGTATGATGAGCTTCTGAATCGTGTTCATTGATGGACTCTTCCGCTTGGGGTGAATCTGCTTCCTTACTGAACACGATTGTAGGAACTTCATGTCGTCCTCGTCCCCAAGTAAGTTCCTCGGCGGCGTGACCTCGACAGCATTGAAACAGAACCTGGTGCTCCGTGATGAAGATGCTGCGCCTGGAAAGTAGTCTCTCTTGGAATGTCCATCCTCTTCGGTTCCACAGAGACCCGTCGACTAATGTTTGCAGACCGTTCGGGTCAATACCCTTCCCAACGTTCCGGTTCCGCGGCGGGCACCATAAGGAGGCGCGAGGCTTCCTAGGGTTGCCAGCATATCCAGGAAACCCATTACCCTGTCGATCATTCAGCGCGGCCAGGATCGAGAAAGACGCAGACTGGTAGATCCGGTCCATGCCGTCTATCTGGTCGGGCTTCGATCGCTCGTCATCCTGGACAATACAAAGACGGTTCACCCATAGATAGCTCTCTCCGAGATCCCTGCAAAGAGATATCGCTTCTAAAATGATGCGCGGTAGCTTGATAGACTTGAGGCTTCCCGGAGCTTCCAGGTCCTCTGCGTTGGTTGTCTCCAGTTGGGCATGTCCCGATGCCTGAGAGGCTTCCCACATGTAGCTAAGAGCAACGAAGCGGACCGGCCTTGACGGCTTGACAATCTTCATTCCATGAACATCGATGACCCTAAACCCGATGGGTAGATGATCTGTTGTCCTGTCAGAGTTCATGCGCACAGAGTCGAGCTGCCCATGGCCACTTACCAATCGACTTATACTTGCTCACGCAGTGGTGGCCGTGAAGAATCTCGCAGCCATCAATCCAAACCTTCAATGTCTGAACGTCAAAATGTTCAGCCTCCCAACCTTCAATCGCCTGGAGTCTCTGAGGTTCGCCTGTCGAGTATCTGAAGAGAAATTGAGGCGTGACCGCAAAAGGAGATGAGAGCGAATCCGAAGCCCCCAGCTTCGACTTGTCTGGCACGGCACTCAGAGTCAATTCCAGAAACAACCTCACAGAAACTTCATCATCGGAAGAGGCGAACAACCGATACTTCTGGTCCTCAGCTAATCCCGAGTCAAGGAAGAAAGGGCCCTGGACTGTAACGAGCAAGCAAGCTTCGGAGCAGTCATGTAACCAGTCATCTTCCCGCCGGCGCGCCTCGACAGCCGCGGCGATCGCGCAGCAAAAGAGACAATTTGACGATCGAAGTGAGATGTTCTCCAAAGAGAGGTAGTGGTGTGCCTTGGATCCCAGGCCGGCAGCAAAGTCGGGGACGTCCCAATCCTGGCACCGCTCACATAGTCGTGGGTTGGGGTTGGTCTGTCTGCGCTTCTGTACGAGCTGCGCGACGCGTGGGAGGTTGGTGGCGGAGGCGAGGCCCCCGAATGAGACGGCTTCGGGTCTCTTGGTTCTTGGGAGCATTCAATAGATTGGAGATCGAAGTTGACGATATTCGGATCAGGCGAACGTTCGTTAGTGGAGTGGAGATGGTGCCGCAACAAAGGCTTATGTTGGCATATGCTGAATGGTGCGAAAGTTGCCACTTCAGAGTGTGAGAAGAATTGGAATGATAAGGCTTGATTTCGTTGGAGTTGCAACAGTTGTATAAGACAAAGGCTCAATGTTTAAGAGGGTTTTAAGAGGATGTAGGTGATGATGGAATCGTTTTGTACAACTGAGCGAGAAGGTGTGGGGTCAGCTGTTTCCTGAGCTACCAAACGGGATTTCGATTTGCTGACCAAGATGGCGCTGATTCCGCTACTACCTTAGCTTGAGACTAAATCAACCATGACGACGTGCTTGTCTCGTCTTAGCGAAGGCAAAGTGATTAAAATCAATCGACATACGCGAATGTATACTAATTGGCGATGGTGGTTCATTCGGTCTGTTGTGGAATCGGCTGAGTAAACGTCGGAGCATTTTGCACGGAAGAGGAGGACACCGGAGGGTGGACTGAAGACAAACAATCATATACGATGAACAACCGAGTCAAGGCCTCTTCGACAGCATGGCAAGCCCAAAGATAGACTTCTTGCATTCCGTTGAACTCCCACCCTATGCCCCATGGCCAGCGACCTTCCTATTGTACATAATTCGACATCTCCACGCTCTGTTTATTTTTTCGACTTTCCGCTGCAACCCATGGATTGCGTACCGAGTTTTCCAAGGAGAATCCCTTTCCCCTTTACCGTTAATTTCGTATACATGGCCAGACAGTGTAGGAGACGGTCTGCTGCGTGTAGTCTTCCAGACCCTTAGTCCCCATCTTGTATCAGGGTCATAGACCCGCTGGAAGACCACACACTTGTAATTAATAATTTGTAGGTAACGAACGTGGAGTGTGCCGTAATGCTGCACATCACTGAAGGGTGATGAGACACGAGGAAAGACGTATTCTATACATGTAAGAAGGTTATAGGAAATGAACCGCGTAGTAGACATTGGCTTCGTTGATCATGCATAGAAAGCCTCGAAGAAGTAGATGAATCCGAACACCAGGAAAGCAACAGCGCCACCAACCGTAACTGTGATATATTAGCTAGGAGCTTGTGGCGTAGATGTCATGACAACTTACCAACTTTGAGACTGACACGGCCTGCGATGGCGCGGCCGCCAATAACGGCAGCACCTGTGCAGATGCAGTGGCCGACCATGGCGCCAAGAATAACCCACCAGTAGTCCTGTCCTGCAGCCATGGCAATCGTTGCGATCTGACTGCGGTCGCCCCATTCACCCAGGAAAGTCATGACAAACGTTTGGACCCAAGCAGGGCTGAGAAGAAGACCGAGGAGGTTGTTCAGACCGTTAAGAGAGCCTCTGATGCCACCGGAACCAGGAGAAGGGCTGCGAGGCGGCGAAGAGGAAGGCGAGCGCGGGGGCGAGGGGAAACGGCTCTTAGACCTAGACTTCCTGCTGCCGTTAAGGCCCATTTCCAGCGCGTAGGGAGACACCGCAGAGCCCCGTCTCTTACCCTCCTTCTCCTTCTCGGCCAACTCGCGCTCAACCTCGTGTAGCTCGGCAGTCACACCCTCATTAGGGTCCATGCCCAAGCCTTCACGAAGGAGCTTGGCGCCAAAGACGAAGAACAGGCCAGCAGCGAGGAAGCTGGTGACACGCTTGGGGATCAAAGTCGGGACAGCGTGACCGAGAACGGCCGACAAGACCGTCATAACCAAAAGAGCACCAAAGGCGGCGGAGAAAACGACCATCCGATCATGCTTCATGGCCATGAGGGCAGCCACAAGGAAGGTCTTGTCGCCAACTTCGGAGACGAGAATCATGGTGAGAGACAGGACG